ACGAGATCCGGGCTCGAGCAGCAGGTAGCTGAGCTAGTGCAAACGTTGAAGCAGCCCAACAGTCTTATTCCGGGCAGAGGTTTGGCTCCACCTCCAGTTGCTCAATGTCAGTGGTGTGAGAGCTCGAATCACTTAGTGGAAGACTGCCAGGCTATGAGGGAGTCTACTACTCCCCAAGAGCAGTTGGACTTCATCGCCAATGCTCGGCGCCTCGACCCGTACAGCAACACCTATAATGAGGGGTGGCGCCAGCATCCCAACTTCTCTTGGGGCAGCAACACCACCAAGCCACCTGGTTTCCCAGCACCAGCTGGTGGCTTCCAGCAGAGGCAGCCCTTCCAGGCTCGACAGGGGCCAGTCCCACAGCAGCAGCCCTACCAGCCTCGACAGGGGCCAGCCCCACAGCAGCAGCCCTACCAGCCTAGGCAGGGGCAACCATTCCAGCAGCCCCAGCGCCAGTTAGCCGAGCCAGCAGCAGCCCCAGCTCCAGATACTCAGATGACGAAGCTGGAAAATATTCTAGCTTCATTCATGACTAGCACTCAGGCAGCTATCACGTCACTGGAGGCAGGTCAGAGGAACCAGGGTGCCATCTTGCAAGATCTGCAGAACCAGGTGGGTATCTTGGCCCGCCAGAGCACCACCAGGGCACCGGGGACTTTGCCTACCACCACTGTTCCGAATCCTCGTGATCCTAACCAGCTCCAGCAGCTTGATGCCATCACTACCAGGAGTGGCAAGACCACATCAGCTGCTCCTGCCCAGCCCAGTCGAGATGAGCCACTACCTACTTCAACACTTCCAGCTGATACTGCAGAAGTGGGGGAAGACACAACAACGCCTGCTCCCAAGCCACAGCCAATGGTTAAGGAGCACGTACCTCAGCTTCCTTTCCCCACTCTCCTGCATAAAGACAAGCTGGAGACTGAGTTTGCCAAGTTCATGGCAATGTTGAAGCAGGTCAACATCAGCATGCCGTTCGTGGAGGCACTGTCAAAGATGCCCAAGTATGCCAAGTTCATGAAGGACCTCCTCACCAACAAGAAGAAACTTGGGGATCTTTCGACAGTGATGCTGAGCGAGGAGTGTTCTGCCATCCTGCAGAACAAGCTGCCCGAGAAGCGAAAAGACCCAGGGAGTTTCACTATCCCTCTTGTTATTGGCAGCATGCATGTAGGGAAGTCCTTGGCGGACCTAGGCGCGAGCATAAATGTCATGCCTTATAATTTGTTTAAGAAGCTAGGCCTAGGTGAACCTAGAACTACTAGGATGAGCATTCAGTTAGCTGATCGTTCTATCATGCGTCCTAGGGGTATCATTGAGGACTTGCTTGTTAATGTGGGTGCATTCACATATCCTGTTGACTTTGTTATTTTGGATATAAATGAGGATGTGGATGTACCTTTGATTTTAGGTAGACTGTTTCTCGCCACCGCCAAGGCGCTTATTGATGTGCATACTGGTAAATTGATTCTGCGTGCTGGTGATGAACAAGCTACCTTTTCTGTGTCTGAGAATGGGAAATACCCTCATTTGCATGATGACATAGACTACTGTGATATGCTTGCTGATTTTGAGACCGCACTCGCTATAACGAGTGCGGGTACTGACGATGTTCTTGAGCGTTGTATTTTGCTAGGTGAGCAGGCATCGTAGGAGCAGCATCTGGCGGAGCAGTTGGCCGAGTTGGAGAGTTGCCCCTTCTTGGAGGGAGATAGGCTGTTCAAACCGATCTCATCCTCCACCCGCGTCGCTACTTCCTTGGAGGAACCACCAGAGCTGGAGCTTAAGCCCCTCCCTCCTCATTTGGAGTATGCATTTCTCCGGGAGGGGAATAAGCTGCCAGTCATCATCAGCTCGACCCTCACACCCGAGCAGAAGACCAGACTGGTGACCTTGCTGAAGCGGTACGAGCGAGCTCTCGCATGGAAGATCACAGACATCCGGGGGATCAGCCCTTCTTTCTTCTCCCACCGGATACTGATGGAGGATGAGATGCGGCCAGTGAGACAGCCGCAGAGAAGACTGACACCGAACCTGGAGGCTGTGGTTCGGGCAGAGATCGTGAAGTTGCTGGACGCGGGGACCATCTTCGCCATTTCCGACAGCGAGTGGGTCAGTCCCACCCAGGTGGTACCCAAAAAGGGTGGGATGACTGTGGTGCCTAACGAGAAGAATGAGCTGATCCCGATGCGCACGGTGACTGGGTACCGTGTCTGCATTGATTACCGGCGTCTCAACGACCCCACTCAGAAGGACCACTTCCCGCTACCATTCATTGATCAGATGCTGGAGAGACTGGCGGGGCACGAGTTCTACTGTTTCCTGGATGGGATGTCCGGGTACTTCCAGATCCCTATTGCACCGGAGGACCAGGCGAAGACCACTTTCACCTGCCCCATCGGCACTTTTGCCTACCGGAGGATCCCATTCGGGCTATGCAATGCCCCGACCACTTTTCAGCGATGCATGCTCGTTATCTTTGACCGTCTGGTCGGCGAGATTATGGAGGTGTTTATGGACGATTTCTCGGTTTATGGAGACTCATTTTCTCACTGTCTCCATAACCTGGAGCTTGTCCTTAAACGGTGTGAAGAAACGAACCTGGCACTGAGTTGGGAGAAGTGTCACTTCATGGTTCGAGAAGGCATAGTTCTTGGGCATAAGATCTCCAAGATGGGGATTGAGGTGGACAGAGCGAAGATCGAGACTATTAGCAAGCTGCCTCCTCCTACATCTGTTAAGGGGATCCGGAGTTTTCTCTGTCATGCAGGGTTCTACAGGCGATTCATCAAGGATTTCTTGAAATTGCTCTGCCCCTGACTAAGCTTCTAGAGAAGGATGCCCCCTTCCAGTTCACTGCTGCATGCACAGCGGCTTTCACGACCTTGAAGGAGAAGCTCACACAAGCTCCTATCATGGTTGTTCCTGACTGGTCCCTGCCATTTGAGATTATGTGCGATGCCAGTGACTTTGCTGTTGGAGCTGTGTTGGGGCAGAGGCGAGATCAGCATTTCCGACCTATCTACTACGCTTCGAAGACCTTGAATGATGCCCAGGAGAACTACACCACCACGGAGAAGGAGCTGCTCGCGGTGGTGTTTGCCTTCGATAAATTTCGTCCTTATCTGGTCTTGTCCCATGTGACCGTGTATACAGATCACTCCGCAATTCGTTACTTGATGAGCAAGGCTGATGCCAAGCCTAGGCTCATACGATGGATCTTACTTCCGCAGGAGTTTGACATTGAGATTCGGGACAAGAAGGGAGCGGACAATGTTGCTGCCGATCACCTCTCCCGGTTGGACGCACCCCCTGCGGACAACCTCGAGGAGGAGATCAATGACTCCTTTCCAGATGAGAGACTGATGATGATGTGCCTGGTGGAGAGTGTCACCCCCTGGTATTCTGATTTTTCAAATTATCTTGTGGGCCAGCAGCTGCCCACGGGGATGACAACTCACGCCAAGAGGAAGTTTTTCTCCGACCTGAAGTACTACTTCTGGGATGACCCTCATCTCTTCAGGATCGGAGCCGACGGGATCATCCGTCGATGTGTTATGGAGAGTGAGATGGAGGGCATTCTATCTCACTGTCATGAAGGACCTGCTGGCGGTCACCACGGAGGAAACCGCACGGCGAGGAAGGTGCTCCAGTCGGGCTTCTATTGGCCCACGCTCTTCAAGGACGCAGACGCCTTCGCACGCAGGTGCGACCGATGCCAGAGGTCAGGTAACATATCTCCCCGTGATGAGATGCCCCAGAATGTGTTTATTACTTGTGAAATTTTTGATGTCTGGGGTATCGACTTCATGGGCCCCTTCCCTCCATCTTTTGGTAATACATATATCCTTGTTGCTGTTGACTACGTCTCTAGGTGGGCTGAGGCGCAAGCTTTGCCCACTAATGATGCTAGACGTGTTTGTGGTTTTCTGAAGCAGCTATTCTCCCGGTTCGGGACACCTAGAGCCATCATAAGCGACCGAGGCACCCATTTCCAGGGTCAGTTCGATAAATTGTTGACTCGCTATGGTGTAACTCATAAGGTATCCGTGGCCTACCATCCTCAAACCAGTGGCCAGGCCGAGCTGACGAACCGGGAGCTCAAGCGGATCTTGGAGAAGACGGTGAACCTATCCCGCAAGGATTGGTCCACCAAGCTCGATGATGCTCTATGGGCATATCGCACTGCCTACAAGACGCCCATTGGTACTTCACCGTACCGGCTTGTCTATGGAAAGGCATGCCATTTGCCCGTGGAGCTAGAGCACAAGGCCTTCTGGGACCTTAAGCTGCTAAACTTGGATGTTAGTGTTGCAGGTGTTGAGCGAAAAATGCAGATGTTGGAGCTGGAAGAGTGGCGTTATCACGCCTATGAGAACACCAAGCTGTACAAGGAGCGCACTAAGCGCCTGCACGATGCACGGTTGCGGGGTTCGAAAGAGTTCCAGGTTGGTGATCGAGTTCTCCTTTATAACTCTCGCCTGAAGCTCTTTCCCGGAAAACTCCGTTCCCGGTGGTCTGGACCGTACACGGTCACACAGGTGTTCCCGCATGGCACGATTGAAATTGCCAACCCGCAAACTGAGCCATTTAAAGTGAATGGCCATCGTCTCAAGCTATATCTGGGAGGCGAGGTCGAACGTGCGGAGTTGGCAGTGGAGCTGGCGGACCCTTAGTTCCGTCATTGGCGTCCAGCTAAAAGACGGTAAAGAAGCGCTTGTGGGGAGGCAACCCCACCACGGTTTGCATTTCTTTTTTCTTTTTTTTTCTGAGTTTTTGTGTCGTCTTGAGTCAGTTGCATGTCTGTGGTGAAGTTCGGTCGTCTTTTATGCCTCGATTTGGTGCTGTCGTGCAGGAGAGGTCGAAAATTTGGGCGAATGAGTTTTTTGGCCGGAAGGGGGCAAATACGCGGCTGTGGGCCAAAATACCCGGTCGGGTATTATTGGCTCACGGTCGGGCCCCCTTCTGTTTCTCGGGGGTGAAAAAAAAGGAAAAACCCGACCGGGTATTTTTGATTCACGGCCGGGAATTTTTCCCAAGTCAGGACGCTGCGTTTCAGAACCCCCGACCTTGACCCAAAAATACCCGACCGGGTATTTTTGGCTATAGGCCGGGGATTTCCTTGCACTTTACACGCCACGTTTTGAACCCCCCGGTCGTGGAATCACAAATACCCGACCGGGTATTTTTGCTATTTATAGCAAACCCCCGGCCATTTTCTCTCTCTACCCTCATTTTTTCAAATTTTCCCCCTCTCTCTTCCTCTCCAATCCTCTCCCCTCCCTCTTCTGCGAGCCGCCGGCCGCCGCCCCTCTGCCGCCGGCCGCCGCCCCTCTGCCGCCGGCCGCCGCCCCTCTGCCGCCGGCCGCCGCCCCTCTGCCGCCGGCCGCCGGCCGCCGCCCCTCTGCCGCCGGCCGCCGCCCCTCTGCCGCCGGCCGCCGGCCGCCGCCCTCCGCCCCCGCTCGAATTTCCGGCGGTTTTCCGGCCACTTTCCGGCGGTTTTCCGGCGGTTTTCCGGCGAGCCTCCCGGGTCATTTTTGGCTTCTGTCTCGCGTCCCTCACCCGTTTTTTTGCCTTAGCTACAGTTCTCCTTGCGTTTCCAGGTGTGTTTCTTGTTAACTGTTCTTCCCTGGAAAATCGAACTGTAGATTGTAGGACCGAGAACTGTAATTGCTTGCATGATTTAGAATAGGGTGAGGGATGCTTGGAGTATGCATGGTTCTATATACTGGGTATGTGCTGCCCGTGTACTGATTGTGGTTGGTTATGTGTTTCTTGCCTTGTTTCCGGCCGTATTGTTTGCGATTCAACCGGCTGTGCTTAGAACTGTTAGCCTAGGTGGTCCTTAAGTGTGGGGGAAGTGATGAACCCATGCTGTTGGTCCTTACGAGTTTTTCTTGGCTCCACCTTTGGTTTGTTGCTTTTGCAGGAACATGTCCCTCGACCATCCATTTGTGCAGGACTTGCGCCTGCACCTGGAGTACGCGGACCAGTTCCGCGCGGTGACTCAGGGGAATTTTGGCACGCCACCACCATCTGGAGTGGGCCGTGTTCGAGCAGCTCCACTGCATGCAGGAGCTCAGCGCCGCCATCAGCCACCCCGATTGGCGCACGCTGCTGACTATCGATGAGCCCACCTACACGGAACTGGTGTGGGAGTTTTACACCACTTTCCAGTACGACAGCAAGGCGCCCCGGGATTCGTATGCAGTGACATTCAGGCTGGGCGGCCACGCCCGGGAGCTGACCATCGACGGGTTGGCCTATGCCTTGGGGATCGAGTACCACCCATTCGATCGCCACGAGGTCGAGATCCCGCACCCAACCGACTGGCGCCAGGACTCGTTCTACCGCCGGATAGCCAGGCGTGCCTATGGACACGACGACTTCGATCCTGGCCAGACATACGTCAGCACCCTCCAGCCGCAGTGGCATATCCTGAACCTGCTCCTCACTCGCTCCGTCGTCCCCAACGTCACCGGCTCGCATAAGATTCCGAAGCGGGTGCTGTATGCCATGTACTCGATGGGGTACCCGGAGCACATGTTCCACTTGGGTTCTTTCGTGGCCACCACCTTCTCCCGGTGCCACGGGAAACCCAACCACCTCTACTGTGGTCCGCTGATCACCCGTTTGGCGCTTCATTTCGACATCAGCTTCCAGGGCCTCCATGATTCTTCTACACGGGGCGGCTCCACCCCCCTCTGCCGGGAAGTGCTCCATAATGCACTCCTCCTGACCAATGATGGCACCCGCACCTGGGTGGATGGGCTTTCTCTGCCTCCTGATGAGGATGAGGATCTCGATGACGATGAGGAGGACGCTGACTATTCTGGCGCGGAGGATGATGATGATGATGATGGCGGGGCCATGGATGCCGATGAGCCGGAGCCCTCGCTCTCTCCACCAGGGGACCTTCGGCCACGACGGAGACATGAGCGAGGTGAGTCCTCCTCCGGTCCTTCTAGTCCGTCGATGGCTTCTGGCCCGTCGATGGATTTCTTCACGAAGCAGTTCCAGCAGATGGGGCTCCAGTTCCAGCAGCTCGGTCTTCAGAACCAGCAGCTCATGGACCATCAGGTCCAGTTCTACCAGCAGTATTCGGCCCACCAGGCCGAGTACCAGTCCAGGCTGCAGGTTATTGACGATCGCCTCGGCCGCTTAGAGACCCATATGGGAGTCACGGGTGCTCTTATCGAGCGGGAGAGAGATCGCGGCCGCCGACTGATGGAGTACTCTGAGCATCTGCTCCAGGCTTGCCACCCCCCAGAGGAGCACCACTGGACCACCCGGTGGGATCATTCACCACCACCACCGCCGGATGATGGAGACGACGAGCTCATGAACCAGATCGACTTCACCGGTCTAGGAGGCGGTTCCTAGTGCCGTGTTTTGAGTGTGTTTGTTTTTATCAGTGTGCAAACTGTCTTGTGTTGGTTTGGTTTCTTTCTTTTTATGTTGGATTCTGTACTATTGAGATGACCATTAGACCTGACGTATTGTGTTGAGCTCTTTGGTTTCCTTTTAGCTGTGCTTGTCTTGACTGGTCCTCTATCCAGTCCGCTTCACTCCGAATGGTCCGTTTTCAGTCTCCTACGGTCCGTGCATACTGGTAATATCGTTCCCCTTTCCCTTCCCTCTTCTCCATTGAGGGTAATGTCGATCTTAAGTGTGGGGGGATGTTTATCTTTTGACTGCATTAGATCTGTTTGCGTGCTTGGAGCCTAGTCCACTGTCCAAATTTTTAAATTTGAGGGCTCCAAGTACGTGTTTCCTTGCAATTGCCTGCTCAGTATGCTTTGAATTGACAGTCTTTATAGTAATATGCAACCTAGGGAGGTAGTGTAGCACTATGGAGGATGTTGATGCATTTAAGAAGTCTCATTTCTTTTTCATATTGAGTTGGTTGATTGAGTGAATTAGTGATCTTAGGACCCTTGAATTGTGTGGTGTTGTGGATTCTCTACCTGTCATGGACTCTTGTATCATGTTTTGAAAATAACAGGTGCTCGGAAATGTGCTTTAAAATAACGTCTCCCGTGCGAATAGGGCGAAAGTGTGTAAGGGGAGACGGGAATCCGTTCCCAATTTCCACCTACTACCTCCAGCCCCCTTACATGTCTTTCCCCCGCACGAGGCTCGAGACATTAGCTCCTGGCATGGCTGGTAAGAGCTGGGCTCCCGCAAAACCTCTGCTAGGTGGGAGCCCCATTTTCTGAAAAGCAGGTTGGGACCCTTTTAAAAAAAAAAACAGAAAACAAGCAAAATAGAAAGAAAAGGGGTTCCAACCATCTTCAAGAAGAGAATAGAGCACCTTGAAAAATGTGAGTCCATGATCCTTTGTTTTTGAGAATCTCTTCATCCACAATTCATTTGTCCTCTATTCACTATTTGCCATGATACCGACTCGATACTAGTGCTCTCGCCGAAGAAGCTATGAGATGACTTGTGCGTCGGTTGACCTCGTAAGCTGCTAAATGATCTAGGAAGTCCTCTACTTACGATCTGGGTTGTTTGTTGCTATAGAGGTCTGGAGAGTTGCATTGGTTTGAGTTAGGTTTGCTTGGGGACAAGCAAACGGTTAAGTGTGGGGGAGTTTGATAGACCGATAATTACACGTATTTTCACCCCTATTCTTGAGCTGTTTGAGAGGTTGATTCTCGGGTTTTAAGCCGATTTCACGCGAGGTTGTGTGTTTATGTCATATTTCAGGACCCGGCGTTGGAATCTAGGCGAAGGAACGAGATTCGGGTCGAGAGCAAGTGAGGCTTGAAGCGGGCTGGAGGAAGAAAATACCCGGCCATAACCACAAATACCAGGCCGAGTATTATTCTGAGGAGACCGGGGATTTCCCATTTTGGCGTCTGAGAAACAGGAGGGGTCCCGGTCATGAGGCTTAAATCCCCGGTCGGGGATTATTGGAGCAGACCGGGGATTTTCCCCTGGCATGAAACGTGCGTTTTGATAATACCCGGTCGAGACCCAAAATACCCGACCGGGTATTTTGACCGGGTATCGCGACAGGCAGCTGTTTTAAGGGAAAAGAAGGCTGAAAATCAAGGGATTCGAGTTTTAAAGAGAGAGATCGATTCCTAGAGTGAGAAAGTGACGATCAAGAGTTTCCAAGTGCCCTAGATTGATCTTCAACACCATTGGAGGCCAGTTTGAGCTTGGAGAAGTGCCGATCAACGTCCAGGAGCAGGAATCCATCCTTCACAGTATGAATTCCGCGTCTGATTCTGCTTTTGCCTCTTTCTCCATGGAGTAGTTCTCCCATTCATCTAGGTATGGAGAACCCTAGATTTGTATGTTAGGTTTGATTGTATGAACCCAAGTACTGATTCTATGATTTGATTATATTCGATTGAGGTTCGAATGATTGAATGACTTGAATCCTGATCAAATTCCTGTTGTTTCTGCTTTAACCTAGAATGAGAATATCTGCCTAGGAAGTTGGTGACTTTAGTCGAGGAGCCAACTCACTATTTTGTACCGGATTTACTCCGGTAGTGGAGGTTTTGTTTGTTAAGGCCTCAATCTGTTTACTCCGGTGGAGGTTAGTCGCCCGCTAGAGACTCAGATTGAGAGGGTCTGAAGACCTTTAGTCGAGACTTCAGGCTGTTTAAGAACCTTCCGCAGTTTAACTGTCATAGAAACTGAACTTGGTAATTACAATCCGGCTTAACTGCAGTCTAGGGGGAACCATATCCGGGTAACCTCTCTTAACCTGAATACAACAGTATACTTGCTTTGTTAGTTTGTTAGCTTAGACTTGCATTAAAGTTTCATTGCTAGATAACAAGAATTCACTGAGTAGTCATCAAATCTAGGACCCGGGTTGATAATTAAACCTAAACCCGCTATACTACGCTTTAGGAAGTGGTTCCACTTGGCCAATTCCTAGGGTGACAGTAGAAGTGAGTCAAAGGGCACCTCGCATTTCCCATCTGTTCTTCGCGAACGACTCTTATTGATTCCTCATAGGCTCCTTGCAAGAGTGTGAGAATCTTATAGAGGTTTTAAACACTTATGAGGACCTCAGTGGGCAGAGGGTGAACCTGGCAAAATCAGCAGTGTGTTTTAGCAAGAATGTTTCGGGTGCTACGTTCTGTTTTCTGGAGGAAAAACTGTTAAGTCGACTTCAAAGGTGGAAACAACGGACATTGTCATGGGCAGCTAAGGAAACATTGATTAAATCAATCGCCTTAGCTTTACCATTGCACGTGATGTCATGTTTTAAGCTCCCTCTCGCTCTGTGTCGCCTCTTGGATAGACATGTCACACGGTTTTGGTGGGGCGTGGAAGGGGGTCGTTCAAGAATTCGTTGGATGTCCTGGCGTCAAATGTGCACTAGTAAGCATGATAGTGGCATGGGTTTCCGGCAATTTGAGCACTTTAATCAGGCTTTCTCGGCGAAGATTGGATGGCAAATCCTGGACGACTAGTCGCTATTGGCTCATGTTTATAAGGGAAAATATTTCCCTCGTGGATCTTTCTTAACCGCTACTGCCAGGTCGCGACATTCGTGGGGGTGGCAGAGTATTCTGTTCGGCCGTGAGTTGCTGACACGAGGGTTACGCTGGCAAATTGACAATGGTCGGCCTACTTTGCTCCTCTCCTCTAGCTGGATACCTTCCATTCACCCGAATTCCCCATTTACAATCATCAAGTCCTGCCGGATGGGGGTGACCCTATGGTGGCTTCGGTGATATGTCAGGGGGAGGGTAAGTGGTGTGATCAGAGGCTTAGTCAGTGGTTTGCTCCTGAAGTTTGTCGTGCTATTAAGGCTATTCCTCTCCCTCGTGAGGATATTGAGGATAGACTTATTTGGCATGAGACTAGGGACGGGAAGTTCATGGTCAAATCGGCTTATCACCTTGCTGTCTTGCTTGACAAGCAGAGTGGTAGGTGGCGATCTAGTGCTAGTTGGATGGATAAACCTAGTTGGATTCGGTTATGGACGGCTAATATTCCTCCTAAACTCAAGGTGTTCTTGTGGCAAGTATTTCAGCGGCTCCTACCAACGACGGAGGCCTTGATTGAAAAAGGTGTTCAGGTGGTACTGCGGTGTCCGGTGTGCTGGGTGGATAAGGAGACGATGGAAAACTTGTTCTTTGAATGCCTAGTTGCTAGGGCACTTTGGGATCTGTCGGGCCTTGAGTATCTGGGTCAAGGATTACCACGACATACTTTTCCCCTTTTTCTTGAAGAAGCTAATGTCCATTTTACACCAGTCCCATCTGCTTATGACTGTGGTGGCGGTCCTCTAGCGGATTTGGCGTTCCCGCAATTGGGTTGTCTTTGAAGGCAAACAGTTTGAGATTCCGGTCCTTCTGCGGCAGTTTCATCAACAGTATCAGGAGTGGGTGCACCTCCCTGCTGACCTGCGCCGATCTGCTGCCCCGCCTCCTGTTGCGTCTGGTAATAACGATCTGGCGCATTCCATTACGTGCATGTGGGATGGGGCAACGAGCACGGGGTCTCACTCGGCAGGTGGAATTGTGGTAAAAGATTCCTCTGGGTCTGTCCTGATGGTTCGAGGGGTTCAGTTTCCTGGGACGGATGACCCGATGGTGGCGGAGCTGTTAGTTCTTCGGGAAGCGGTGTGCTGGTGCCTAGAAATGGGGTTTCTGGAGACTTGTTTCCAAGGTGATGCCCAGGTCATTATTGATAAACTTAATCGGCAGGATGCGCAGGATAGTCGGGTTGGGCCTGTTCTTGAGGAGCTCATTCGGGTGTTCAGGCTTCATTCCACGCTTAAGGTTCGCTTTGTAGGTCGGAGTAACAATAGGGTAGCCCATTTGGTGGCTAGAAAAGCCCTAGCTTTGTACCGGACTACATGTCAATTTTTTGATTTTCAGGCTTGGCTGATGTCCAGGATGTAAGTATATTTTTTCCAATCAATATATCTGATTATCTTTTGTATTAAAAAAAAAACTAAATCAACGAGCATGTAACACCAGATATTAAAATGAACGAGTAAAATAGCAGCAACAAAGCGCGACAAGCAAGCTAGTAGTTCTATAACTTTGACGCAAACGGCTACTGGTCATGATTAAGATGATGCTAATCCTTTTTTTACGAATAAATTCTTCCTACAAGGCTACAAATCTGTGGTTGTTGATGCCGGTCTATGCTTTGTATATTTGTATCACATGGTCAAGCGATCCGCGTAATTGGGGTTTGGTTTGACTAGTCAAATTGTTGGGTTACTGAAGTACGGGTCCGACGACTAACCGTTGAAAACTTGGCCAACTTTTTTTCGTTTGGGCTTCAGCTCATGGATATGGTGACTTGACTTGTGAGTATGAACATCAGTGCATTTGTACACGAATTCCCCGTGCAATTTAGGTCAATGGTAGAATCGGAGTAGCCATACACATTTGGGTGTGTCACGGGACATTTTTCGTTTTTCGTACACCTCTAAATTAGCACGAATCTAATTGTCGATTTCTCTTTTCTCCTCCAATCCACCTTATCACTTTCTGATCATGTGCCGCCAATGATTGTTTACTGGAATGTACTTAAAAATATTAACTGAAAAGTGTAGACGGTAATGTATTCTATGCCTCTTTCATAGGGGTGGGATACTATGCTAACCCCTAAAGGGGTAGTGATTTTCAACACCCCCTTTATGATTGGCCAATTTTATTTTCAATCATTGGCAAGTATTAATTAAACTGGTTTTTTATTTTTTTTAATCTTGTAATTTGGGGTCTCTCACCCACATTGGAAAGGGAAAGAATATGGGGAATCAGAAAAAAGCTCCCCCCCAAATGTGCAATTAATTGCCTTTTTTTCTTCCTTTCGTCTCCTTCTCTCTCCATTTGGGCCCTCTTTCCATTTTGATTTCATTTTAACCAGAACCCTCCTCTACTCTGAAACGACCAAAACCCTCCAACGCCTTCCCCCACCACCATCCTCCTATCTCCAGCTGCCGCCATCCTGGGATCGCCTCTGACCTACCTTGTGGATTGCTCGCACCAGTGGAGTGGTACGTGTACCAGTGGAGTGGTACGTGTACCAGTGGAGTGGTACGTGTACTAGTGGAGTGGTATTTGTATCATTGAAGTGGTACTGCATTGTTGCTCCGTTATTGTTTATCATTGTTATGAAAAATATCATTGCACTAGTATTGTTCTCACTCTAACCTACCTTGTGGATTGCTCGCACCAGTGGAGTGGTACGTGTACCAGTGGAGTGGTACGTGTAATTAATGTACCAGTGAGAGAAATTAATTATGTAATTAATGGGGGTGATTTCGTTTTTCCCCAGATTCTTTCTCTTTTCCAATGTGGTGAGAGACCCCAAATTACAAGATTAAAAAAAAAAATAAAAAACCAGTTTAATTAATACTTGCCAATGATTGGAAATAAAATTGGCCAATCATAAAGGGGGTGTCAAAAATCACTACCCCTTTAGGGGTAGTCAAGCTAACCGATCCCTCTTTCATAACATGAAAAATTGTCATGGTTGTTTATGAAAAATGATGATTGTATTATTCAATCATTTCATTTAATTTCATTTCATTTAATTTCATTGGTTGTATAACATGGTCTTGTCAGATCCACGGTTTGTATCAATTGTTAGTCAACGCACCAAACAACAACAACATGATCTCTTGGCACAGATAGATTTTCCAACACTTTTTCGTCTTTTTTATTATAATTTTTTGAAATTCTTTGATTATGTTATCCCTCCCTTTAATTAATTAATTAATTTATTTATTTATTATAAGAGCCTATTTATTTGTTTATTATAGATCACACGTCACAACAGAATACTTGAGTGTAAGTGTATTATACTACTAGCGTATTAATCTAAATTGTCCTATCTAATCGCAGTTTAGTACCCTTGCAATATAATAAATTAATAATCCAACGATCAACGGTGGAGATGAGTTGGTAACTATTACCTATTACGATGATCAATAGAATTGGTACGAAATTATTGCAACGCTTAAGGTCGTTGTCCTATATGAAATGAAAGTGAACGTACAATTATTATAGTAAAATCATGCACTTCACATGTCCGGACGTCTCACTGTCAATCCACTTTATTAATTTACACCAAT